TTTCTTGTTGAATTCCAACAACCAGAATTGAAAATGGTAGATTGACAAACAGTTGTAAAACTTCAACGATTGCTGGATGCCTGAATCGAACAAAAAATATTCAAATAATTTATTTGTTAAGAAATAAACCAGACATCAATTAAGAGCTAAGTGCATTAGTACAGCGAAGTGCATAAATGCAGACTAGGGGGCTACGCCCCGTGCTCGCTCCGCTCGTCAACCCCCATATATGATCCACATATGACGTCCATGACCCTTATTTGAACCCTTCTGACCCTTAATCTACCCCCGTGACCCTTATTTTGACCCTTGTGACCCTTTACGGAGAAAATTATTTGGTGAAATTTACCAACTAATTGGTGAAATTTAACAACTAATTAATTAAAATTCAGAAAAGTTTTTTGAATTTCATTCGTCAACGATTTCCCAACTTATTCTAACTTTCAATCTAAACGAGAATGTTGAGTACCAAATAACGTTGAATTTTCGATTAATGGAGAACTTATATATAAATCAAAATTTTCCTGATTACTTTCCTCATCCCATAAAATTTCGAAGTCTTAATTATGAAATTACGTGAAATTTCAGTCAGAAAAAAATTTCCAATGAGTTCACAGCCAAAGGGTCAGCCAAAAATTTTTAGCTATAGTTATCTATAAAAAGCAATCAACTAGAACCTTTCATTTATATCTTGACAGTCAATCAATGTCTCCCCTAAAAGTTATTTTCGTAATAATCTACAATTTCTTGTTAAATTTGATCCATCAAATAAATCGACGGACGTTTATTGAAATTTTAACAAATGGTTGTCGAATGAAATTGAAAAATCTATTTCGAGATTTTAATGAATTAGTTCAAGTATATTTTATACTCGAGTCAAGTATATTTATCCTTGAATCAGGTTTATGCATATACTTAATTCTGGTACAAAATATATTCAATTCAAGTATATTTTTTTCCGTTTACTCAAATTGAAAACCGACCTGGAAACCAGTGCAAAAACCAACCAAGTCACTTACTGTGAGTTGACTTAAAATCGAATTTTTCGACTCGAAGAGGCTCAAAGAATAATTTTAAACGTCAACTTTCCTTTGGGAAAGATCGATTCAATCAGTGATCTTTTGACAATATACCAGGAAGTCATAATTCTACAAATCTCGCATATTCATCCTTGCCACCTTGGACACGTTCATAGCTTCCGTGACTGTTATCGCCATGTCTTCGCTGAACTTTCAACAAATTTCGTGAAGTTAGAAGCAAGAAACGAAACTCCTTTTCTAGAAAAATCCACTCAGTACTTCCGTGTTTCTATACTCATTTTCATGTGCATGTTTTTCGAAGAAAAAATTGGTGTTTCGAAAAAAAATGGCAATAACTAATCAGTTTTGCCACGTGTTCATTCTGAAATTTTGCTCCAAGAGTCAATTTTACCCCCGTGGTCCCTTTTACTCACAGGGGCTATTTCATCTTATTCTCTACTCGATGAAACTTCGGTTTAACCCGATACAAATTAGCACTTCACGGAAACAAAACGATTCCGTAAGAAAATTTAAAAAAAATGACGATGAGAAGTAAGATATCCATCTGTCAGAACAGTAGTCAATAACACCTTTCAATCCGTAAGACCCTTTAATCTAATCCTCTTCGACACAACTTGAGAGCAAGCCCCCGACGTCAACACAATCCTAATAACACACGTATAACGTTTGAAACCCGCTAATTTGGTCTTCCGGCGTACCATGCCACCCTGTCCTGACAGCCGACCAAATTAGTCGGCCTATTCGTCAAGCGAGCATCAAACCGCGCTGCATTTACTGTCGGCAGGCACGAATGTCTCACGAGAAAAATTGAATTCTAAAAATCGCTTTGAAATAAGGTGACGGTTTGAGGAAAAAAAATTATGTCAATCTTAAGCAGGAAAATTTCTGTTTCAAAATACTGCATAAAAAATCCATGCTACTGTTATTCTTTAGTAATTTATATAGTATTCTCGTGCACTGTTGAAAATTTTCGTCTGAATTTTCCTTGCCAAATCTGGAAATTGTTATTGTTTTTAATTTCCACTGAAATTTCAGAAAATATTGTCATTGAAGAATCAAATATTCCATTGATTTTCTGCTCGAATGATCTAAAAATCAATAAAATACATGAATTTTCAGTTAAACTTAACTTTTTAACTTTTAACGTTATTTATTGCAAGAAATATACATTCTTACAAATGGCCACTGCCCAAGGGCCCTCAGCCTAGAATACACTTCTTTTGTAGAGTATTGAATTATCTCTATCAGGAGTTGTATATATGTGGTTCATTGTTGATGATAGTTAGACGTGAGAAAGAGAAAAAAAAGAGAAATTTTCAGTTGAATTATTCCGCAAAAATTCTGAAAAATCGGTAAAAAATTGAAAATTTATGTCATTCTGTTTCTGAATATTCATGTTCCATTGAAAATTCAATCAAGTTGTGAAATTTCGATCTCACTCGCACTGAAAACTCATGAATTTTCTTGAATTCTACCTAAAACTTGAAATTTCATAATCATTTATCCCCTAATTCCTATTCAATGTCACTGTCATGAGAATTACTATCATATTTTCAATGAAATTTTCAAAAATTTCTAGCAGTGTAACAGATGGCTAGCTAAATGGCGAAAATTATGAAAAAATATTGCCTAGATGTCTTCCGATAATTCATTGAAAATCAGTCGTTTTCGGGACTAATTTTCCGTTCATGACTTCATGAAGACGGTCAGGTCACGCTTCATTGGTCGGGTGTGAAGAGAGTGGGGAGTTGTCGTCCTTCATTGGCCGAGGAGCTCATCAAGATTGAGTTAGGTCGACTCGAGCCATTCTGTGATTGGCACAGCGCTCGACCGTCTGTGTGACGTCATTAGCGATTTCAAAGTGTTTGAAATCCTCGACGTTTAACAAGTAATTATTAATTAATGAGCAATATTTTGAACATTTGTGAATGAAAAAAAAAAAATTCAGGTCCCAAACTAGAGACTAGAAAATTGAAAAAAAAATTATTTTCATTTAATCATGTGAAGGCCCAAAAGAATTCCCCGGCTTCCTAGAAAATTCGCAAAAAACCTGTTTTTTTCTATTGGAGAAAAATCTAGAAAATTCTCAGGTTTTCTGACGAATTTGAGGAAATTATTCATTTTCCTAGAAATCAATGTATTTATAACACTTCTAGTTTCAGAAAAAATGATGTCAAAATGTTTTTGCTCGTACATGAGAAACTATTAAAAGAAAATAGATTGACTAGTGTTCAGAAACGGTAATTCCGCCAGCCTCCCAATAAACCCAATTTCCCTGGTTTTTTTCCAAGTAAAATAATCTCCCTGCAAAGACGGTAGTGGTATATGGGCGTGCAATGGCCCGTGAAACTTGACTGGAGATGAGGGATGCAACGATGCCAGCTATGTTAATTAAAACGCATTTTCTCCTCTCCGAAGAAGCCTAGGAGTGACGGGAGGCGAGCAAAAAAAAAATATAAAATAAATTATATACCCTGGGCTTGGAGGAAGTAGCGACGGTGGAACCCTGAAGCTGATGGCTATAATAACACGTCCCGGACATGACGAACGCACGCCACACGACCGTACGAACCCAATATTTTTCGCTCCCACCTTTGGGTAACCATTGCCAAAAGAACCCATCAATGCTTCCACCCAAACAAGAATGAGAATAAAAAAGTAAATTCTCATTGATGTCCCCCTCCGGTTGCTCGTGCGCGCCCCAACTATCATCATGGAAATTAGCCATCCAGCCCCTGTGCCACTTCGATCATACTAATTTCATCTTTGTGGGATGTATAAGTGGCAAATTGTCCACGAGTCACTCCACTCACACCGAGAATTTTTTTGAATGAAATTTTTTTCTCATCTTTTCGCGGTTGTGGATAACCGAAGAGCATTTGAGTTCATTCAGGTCAGTGGGTAGAACAATGACAAGGATTTGTGATAAATCACTGTAATTCGAGACACTCGTGAATACCTTGAGCTGAAATTTCCTCAGGGGAAGGTCGATGCTGTTAGAGTAAATTACCTAGTGCAAACAATTTCTAGGTGTTGCTCAATTTTCCTAAAAATATTTGTGAACAAAATTAATGGCGATAAGAATTTGAAAGCCCTATCTGGGTAAAACATCCTTTGTTCGGATCTCAAATTTCATTTTGTCGGCCAATTTGCGGTTTCAAATACACTACTAGCGTCATCTTGTCGTAATTGTCGCATCAAGACTTCGTAAATTTCTGAATTATCGACTGTCAAGAGACTAGGAAATAATTACGTTCCTCTCCGGAGGGATCTTCTTTATTGGCGGCGTTCATTCGAAGAGGTTTCACTAATAATTAAGGATCAAATTGCTATTTAGTGTTTAATTTATGCAACATAGAAAAATCGCGGACGATGTATAATCATTTACTAAAGTTCTGAAGCAATCTGAACTTGCATCCTATGTGTTTTGTTTCAGAACTTTAGTAAACGAGTGTAGATCGCCGCAACATTATTACATAATTAACAACAACAATATTATTTTCCATTTAAAAAAAATAGAAAAGTCAGGCATGATGAATAGTTGGAGCATGGATATAGCTAGAAAGTTTTCAATTATTGCATGGCAAAATTTGGCCTTTTCTTCCTTAGAAATTGAAGCAAAAATGACGAATGCCATTGTTTGCAGCATCAGTATGGCCACCAAATTTACAACTATCCTCACAAAAAGATATTCTAAAAATATTTGTGAAAGATATTAATGGCGATCAGAATTTGAAAGCCCTATCTGGGCAAAATATCCTTTGTTCGGATCTCAAATTTAATTTTGTCGGCTCATTTGTGGTTTCAAATATACTACTGATGCCATCTGTTGAGAAATTGTCACATCAAGACTATAAATTCCTAATTAATCGACTGTTAAGTGACAAGGAAATATTTCCGTTCCTCTCTGGAAGGATCTTCTTTATCAGCAGAGTTCATTTGCAGAGGTTTCAGTAATAATTAATGAACAAATTGCTATTTATTGTTTAATTTATGCAACATAGAAAAATCGCGGACGATGTAAATCGTCGCAACATTATTACATATATCAAAGCTCACAGCATTGCAATGTTATTACAATTATTAACAAAATCAATATTATTTTCCATTTCGAAAGAATAGAAAAGTCAGGGATGATGAACGGTTGCAGTATGGGTACAGCTACAAAATTTTCAATTATAGTACCGAAAAATTTGGCTTTTTCTTTCTTAAAAATTTCGGCAAAAACGACAAACGTTACATACTATCACTAATTGTTTCCAGCATTAGCATGGCCATTAAATTTACAACTGTCCTCACAAAAAGCAAAGCTATAGTCTCTAAATGCCTCAACAGGGACGGATTAGTCTTGAGTTCACAGATAAAGATATTCAACGCTTAATCAAATATGAAATGCCTATGATGAAATGAAGAATTCCTGTACTCGAAGGCCAAAGAAACATAAAAAGCTCGAGAGCAGCGAATGATCTCAGAGTGAGAACCATTAGAATTTCTGCTTTGTTAATTTGGCAAGGAGATCCATCTCATGTTGCGAGAACGACTTGTTCATGATCTGCATGTAATCATAGAAGATTCTCTGCTTCTCCTCCTGCTGAAGTAGCTCCCACTCCTCCTCGAGTTGACGCAGTAGAAGATCCCTCTCAGCTTTTTCATCACTGATGTAATGTTTCTTGTCCTCCTCAGCCCACATGTGCCACATGAGCTTAGCCTCCTCACTGCGAGCAACATAAACAAAATATCAACAAATGAAAATGAGCATGGAGCCACTGAAATGTCATTTGCGATGAATAACTATGTGGATAGACTATAAGAATAGAATGTAATAAGCTTCAGGTACGTTAGTAAACCCATTGAACGCTTGTGTGATCGTCTATTTGTGTTCTATTGAGAAACAAACTCAGTAGCTTTTAGTTTCGTTGAGCTGTGACAGTGATTTTGGCACGCGATGCTAATGAGACTCGTGCATATATGCATCATACATATTCAATGAATCAGAGTGTGATCATTGCGAAATCAATCTAAAACCCTTGGCATTGTGACCAGGAATTTTGATCGTTTAATTCCTCGAGTGATTTAGCAAAAAATGTAAATACTAGTTCTTCATGCTACGATGAGCAAGATTGTCCTTCTCATAGGTAAAACAAACCTTTGCAATTGGTATGAGAGGCCTTCACGAACAATAATATTGTTAAATACAAGCCATTTAATTAAGAATAAGTACAGCCGAGCCTTTACATAAGATACCTCTCTCTAATTAATTATCCGGCCATAATGCGCTCATACATTCAGGGTGCCGTCAGCATCTTAATAGAACAAAGCCTGACTAAAATTCAATTAATTTACGTGCTTTCAACAATGTGTACTTCAGCAGTCCAGAGGTGATTATTCTCAAGTCCCCTAACAATCGCCCAATATCAGCTCTGCCATTCTATCACGCGGGGTTACGGTTAGAGAGAAAAGGGAACGCGGACTTTACGAATCCAAAACATTAAACTCGTATGAATTGATTAGTTATCAACATTCGCTTAGTAAAAAATGAATATTCCATAGAATTCGTATTTCAAACCGCTGATCCCTATTTTTCCGCTCTCTATAAGCGCACGCAGTTGTGGTACACGGATTCCCGGAATTCCACTCGCCTACTGTCCCTAAGGTATCTTATATAAAGCCTTGATCGTATTAATTAAAAGATTTTGGGGCGAAATAAGTAATGAAAAGAAATATGGAAAGGATTGACCCGTCCGCGGACTGAAAGAATAACGAGTAAGAACGAGACGATCGTACATGAAGGTAGTTAAAAGGGAGGAAAAGAACAAATACGTAACAGTATCTCAACAAATTACCTGTACATCTGTGACTGCACATAGAACTGTTCTCGATTAATCAGCTGCTTGCTGCGTGCCTCAATGCTCTTCAGCGCCAACTGCCTCAGCTCAGGATCAATCTTGATATCATCGCGCAGATAAAACTGCTTGTCCCTGAACAACTCCAGTCGATTCTTCATATCCTTCAAACGAAGAGCTTCCTCCCACGATTGCTTGTGGATGGCCTTCATCTCCCTGTTCTCCAAATCCTCAATCTTCTTCTTCACCTCTTGATGAGTCAGATACATGAGCATGGCGCTTGACGATTGTGGCACCCACGGTTGATCGTGATCCCTATTTTCAACGGAATTCGGGTGAAGCTCCATCGACTGCATCTTGTCAGCAATGTAATCCGCTTTGTCCTGAGATTCTTCCTGACTGTCATTATCTTCAGCCAATGTTTGCACAACTCCATCATCATCAACATCTTCTAGCGTGTCATTAGGCTTCACAGTTGGTCCACCAGTCTCACGAACATTAGTGTCTTGAAGGCTTCTCTTCGCATATCTCTCAGCAAACTTCTTGGGCAAATTCCATCCTTCTGGTGGCTGCTGTCCATCGAGGAAATCCGATCGTTCGTACGATCCAGCTGAGCTTCGTCCAGAAGAATCTTTGTCACTTTCTTTCTTGTCATCCTGAAATCTTTGCGCAGGAAGTGTTCCAAAGTTCGATCGATTAGATGCCGCTCGGTTGTCCATGAACTCTTGATGTCTGACATTGAAACTTGCCTGATCCACAAGATTCGTAAAGTCCACGTGCCCAGTCTTCTTCCTCTGAGGGCTCTCGGTGGTACTCTCTGATGACTGCATCTCGTACCGAAGATTTGTGTTCTCTAGGCTCTTTCGAGAGGGTCTACTCGGCGCCCAGGTATTGATTTCTTTCAACAATTCTCTGTCTTCCTTCGTGGGATAACTGAAGTACGATTGAATCCTTCGGCAAGTCCTCGGATGGTACAAACTCTGCTCCGTCCTCTTCTGCCTCAACTTCTCTTTCAATGCCTCGAGCGTCGTCTCCTCTCTCGTATTCTTTCGTGACCTCGATTCGTCAATTTCACGCTGATAAACTTCGTTCTCGGCCCTCAGAAGATCCTGAAGTTGACTTTGACGCCTATGAAGTGCCTCGGTCTTTCTAATATTCTCCCAGTGAGTTGGCTTTACTTTGTCAACGTTCCAGGAATTGAATTGCTTCGCTTTTCCGCATTCGCGCTCGAAGTAGTTCGCCGCTTGTACGTAATAATCGAATTTTAATGCTGTTTCGTTACGCTTCTGAGCTGCTAATTGATAGCGCCTCTCTGCAAGTCTCCCAACCCTGAGTGATTTAGTTCAATTTATTATTTATTCGTTGGTGACTTCTATTTCTAACATTGAACATTTAAGCAAAAACAAGAGAACTCTGTTGCGGAGTGGCGAAAAGTTTATAGAGATTGATGGTTGTGCGTAGAATCAGAGCCAAAGAGTTCGTTAATGCGTATTATATCATTCAAGTACCCATTGTACTACACTTTAACAATTTTTTCATCACTTGTACGTGAGGGGAATATTTACGCACGTTACGCGTGCGCAAAATCCCACCTTTCACACATTGTGACGAAAAATAGGGTTCGACACTCGTGGGAAACGTGTTCTTTGACACTTCGGAGAGTAACACTAATTGTGACTATCCATGGAATCGAATCCACACGGAAATGTATTCGCGTACACCAAAGTTGAGCAAATAAAATTGGCGGGAAAATCTTGCGATCTTATCGGTTATACGGAAACTTCTCCGTGTGGATTTTGTTCCACGGGCACTCACCCTCACCTTCGGCGAACGCTATACATATCCCACGGGTCAAACAATACTTTTACGTACTTATATCAAAATATACTACTGGCTGAAACCGAAATTTGGATGGAAGTTCTCTTCCGAATACCACTTGAGTGTCAAAATTAATCAGGTATTTTCTTCCAGATTCATGGAGGAAATTATTTGGTGAATTTCACCAAATAGTTCAGTAGCGAAGTGGTAAAGCGGTTCAAGTCGACTTATCTGCCAGTTGAGTTTTTGTAGACCGAGATCGGCCGCGCGTGCTACGCACACGCCTTCTCATCTCCTCACGTAGTGGCGCTTCGGTTTCAGTCTTACGCTGACGCTTATTCGAGATTTTCGAGATATATCGAGATCGATTTCTTTTCTCCTTTTTAGGATAGGATATTTCCGAATCTAAGGTAGATAGCGAAATTTTTGTAATTAGATTTGTCTTAGCTCTCAATCGGCTCTACAAAAAAGGTTTGTTTGAAACGCAACTAAAATTCCAGAACATTCTGGTCGACCATCGGCCTACTTCGAAAATCTCCGGGACCCTTCGGGTCATCAGTCATAAGTCACCGAAACACGCGCGAATCAGTTTAGGCTTAGCCTCTCACCGTACAAGTCTATCTCGGGCGAATCACCTGTACAAGTTTTATATCGCCCCTCACCGAGTACAGTAGCTTCTTGAACCTCACCTAGCTCACTAGTAATCAAGTACATCACCGGTCTTTGTAAGATCACCGTTTTATTCAGTACATCACCTCTGTTGATTAAATTCAGCCTAAATTCAGTGACTCAACGAATTTACAGTGAAAGACAATCATCAATTTACTTAGACATTCAACTATTGAAAATCAAAGAGTGTAAAGACTTTTGACAAAATAGTTCGATCCCACAAAATAAAGTGTGGTTTTTAAATCCGGCTCATCAGTAATTTTCCCAACAACTCCCTCCACATTTTCATCCCACATCCACCCTAAATTTAGTCATTCACCAAACAAGGTTATAATAAAAAATTTGCTATCTCCCTTAGATTCCGAGATAAGCATTGAAAACTGGTCAATCATCAAAATTGACTTGTACCGTTTTACCACTTCGCTACTGAATTGGTGACAAAAATGAATTACCAGCCAGTTGGTGAATTTCAACAAACTAGTTAGTGAAATTTAACAACTACTTGTTGAAATTCACCAAATGATTGGTAATTAATTTTTTTTCAATAAGTTGGTGAATAATTTTCTCCGTGTTCCCTACATACTCGTCAAGTTTTTCAGGAAAAATCACTCGTGCTTTGCATTCGTCATGTTTTAACCTGAAAAACTCAACGCCTTCGTTTGTTCTCCACGAACCTGTCGGAAAATACCTGAGAATTCTGAAACTCTTGTGGTATTATGAACGATAATTTTCCATCGTTCGATAATTTCCCGTTGGCAAGCAGAATAACAAAAAATTGTCGGTTGTACCCTAATGGTGATGGGGAAAATAATCAATAACCCCGGAAGCTCTGAAATGATCGGGCATTTCCCCATAGCTTCACTGCAAACAAAGATGAGTCAAAATTTGTGAGATTTTGCCAAGGACCTGAACACAGTCGTCTATTCGGAGAGAAGGTTGAGAGAAATACCGGATTCATTTTTAAGCTCGAGGGACATATGGTGGATAATTTTTTTCCTTTGAATTTCGGCCAAAAGAATAGTTTGCGGACGTGTTGCCAGTTGCCAATGACAACGGAAAATATCCGAAAAATATCCAAACTAAAATCCTTCAGTCTCTCCCCCTCAAGATGAATGCAACAATTCTACTAATTAAAGTCGATCACAATTCCGTGGGAAAAAAAATCTGTGAAATTTAAAGGTGCATGATTTTTTTGGCTTCTGGATGGAAGCTTTGTAATCGTTCAAATTTAAGTTTTGGATTTTTTGTATTATATCGACCCAGCATGATCCAAAAAGTCTGAAAATACGATTTTCTGTACTGCTTCTCACGATTTCTCGTCTGGGAATTGGTATTACATACTTCCCAAACTCGAAAACTTGAAAATCACTACAGAAAAATATTGTTCCTGGGCTGTTGCGATGGGGTTTTTTTACTCGTGTGGCGTTGGCCTCCGAGGCGTAGGCGAGGACTGGTCAACCACACGAGTAAAAAACCCCATCGCAACAGGCCGGAAAAATACTATTTTAGACCTCGTCCGTACGCGTGTATGTATGTACATATGTAAACAAATTTGTTTTCAATTGTTCGCAATTGAATGAATGGAATTGAATCTTTCTCTTTCAACGCAGGTATTGTTGAGCCTTATCAATCGCCATTAATTAAATTTTAATTCATCGATTAGGGTTTTTAATGTTCATCACGCTGTGACGAAAAGTGAACCTTTCGGCACGCTCCGCGTGCCTAAAAGTCTAATTTCCGCCACATTGTGATGAAAAATATTGTTCGTAACTCGTGAAAAAATGTTTTTTAGCTCGTGGGATTATATCACTCGCCTTCGGCTCGTGATATAAACCTCCCACTCGCCAAAAAACACTTTTTTGCACTCGTTACGTAATATACTATTTCGATTTTTTTCGAAAATCAGTTGTTCCACGATAACTAAAAAAAAATGTTCTGAATTGATTGAATGATGCCTAGAATAATTTGTTTGGATGTCATTCTGGCCGAGTTCGGAGATGAAGGCGATAGCAATAATCGTTATTTTAATTCATTTGAAAATCTGCAAAAATTGTAGATTTTTTGAAAATCAGATTTCCGGGGATATCTTTGAATATAATGCTTCAAATAAATTCAATCATAGCTTAAAATGTTTGTTTTTTTGCCATTAAGTCATATTAGTTGATATCGTTGATATTATATATTAGTTGATTTGATTTTTATGATGATTGTTGAAAATTTCGAATTTTTCATGAAGTTCCCTGAAATTTAGCTTTCTGATGGTTTCTTCAAATGTGATGTTTCAAATTCAATCAAGTATGTATAAATAAGATGGTTCTGTCAACATTTTATCGAAGGGCTGAGAGGAGAGATAGCACCATAAAAAAGACAATCGGTTGTCTAAAAGAAACGAATAATAAAAATAATGATGATGATCACATTCAATTACGTTGCAAATCTGACAAAATTAGTTGAAAAGCCATTTTGTTCAATTTCATAAAATTAAATAAACAATGAATTATACATGATAGAAGGAAATGATGTGCGAAATAACCGTTTCGAAAGTATATTGCTAATTTATTAGGAAAAATAACTACACTATATGCAATACAAGAGCAATTTCCCACTCGTTTTCTCCTAAATTGAAATGAATGTTGTTCTCCTTAAAACTGCTGCTAAACTGTTTACGAAATTTCAATTATTTTTTTCTAACAGTGTAGTAGATTTAGAATGAAAATTCCAGATACACTGTGGGAAATTTTTCGACATTTCGTGGGAAATACGGTAAAAATTTTCATAAGTGGTATTGAATCCGATACAGGGGAAAAATGATTATGAAATTTCAAGTTTAAGGTACAATTCAAGGAAATTTATGAGTTTTCAGGGAAAGAAAGACGGAAATTTCACAACTTGAATGAATTTTAAATGGAACATGAATATTCGGAAACCAAATGACATGAACTTTCAATTTTTTCCTGAATTTTCCTGATTTTTCTGAATTTTCACGAAACAATGGAACTGAGAAATTGAGTATTTGATTGATTTTCAGATCATTCGAGCAGAAAATCGGTGGAATATTTGATTTTTCAATTGCAAGCTTTCCTAAAATTTTAGTGGAAATTAAACATGATAAAAATTTCCGGGATTTGGCACGGAAAATTTAGACGTAAATTTTTAACCCTGTACTTTGTTTGTTCTCTAAAGCAGTTTCCTCCTCAAATATTCTTGAGAATAATCTGCAAGCTCCTCTACCACTTCCCCAATGATTTCTCATCAAACGAGAATAACATTAAGTGACTAATAAGTATGAATTCTAAATCCTCAAAAATGAAGAAGCATTGTGTTATTTCGAAACGCCTTAGTACTCCTATTCAGTAATTTGATATCAGTTACATTCGACTGAGCTAGTACGGAATAAGAAAAGCACATTTGGAGAAATAACAGGAAGTCCAAAACGATCTAAGCCCCTGTGATTGGTTGTGCACGATATGCTTATGCAATCGCCATTGTAAACACAAACGTATTGTGATGCAGTATAAGACCCTGCTAATTCCCTCCCTCAACAAAGAAGAACTTATGCTTCCGAGCACAATCTGAGAAAGATGATCATAATTTCGAGAAGACTGGTGGCGTCCCAGAAGCACTCAGTGTGTAATCTATTTTTGTTCACTCGGCACGTGACGTCACACACCGAAAATATCAACATTTTGACCGAACCTGAGAAGGAGGCGGGGAGGTGGGGGCTCAGTGACGGCGGTTGGTTGATCCAGGTTCTCAATCTTTCCCGGACACGAGAAAATTCCGATTTTTCCAAGGGGAGGTAGTAAGCATCGGTGTCTGAAGGAATCATCAAGAGTCTGGGACTTGAGGCATCTGCGGAAAGTAGATCAGGGAAGTTGAAAGAGACGTGTTGAGGAGACAATTATTAATTAGGGTTTCAAGAAGTTGGAAAAGTCGAGGTAAGGGTGGAGGATCAAGTGGTGGGAGAAGTGGGTCGTTTTCGCCCACACATTGTCGGTGTCTCATCGCAGCAAGACCACCAGGAGGTGAACAGTAACAGCGTCATCGTCGTTGCTGTCTAGGTATTCGTTGGGGGACTGTTGATCATTCCATTGACGGTGACTGGAATGATCCTGTGCTAATTGGAGATCAAAGAAGACATTCCGCGAGGTCTCGGTTGGGACTCCGAGGCTGAAGCATTCTTCGGTGAAGAGGGATTTCTTGAGGGGAATTTTTTGAATTGTGGGAACAAAATGCCGGGCGCCGGGGGTCAACAACCCCAGAGAACAACATTCAGGCCACCATGGGTCAAGGATGGACCCAATCCATTGCCGATGCCTCAAGCCCCGTGGACCTTGAACAACAGAAGAGACTCCAAACCCACCACCGATGACGCTCCAGCCTTCACCAAAGTAACGTTGAAGGTAATGCCTTCTGCTATTTGTTTTTTGTTGTTTGCGGTGATATAATTATATCATATTTATAAAAATCCGAAGGTTTTGGGGACCTGAGTGCCAATTGATTGTTTATGAATATTGGAGATTGGCAATCTGCCACAATGAAGTGTTAGGAACTTGTTTTTAGATTCAAAGATCAAGGGAACGAGTGGGTTTTTGGGAAAAATCGGTGATTTTTGATGATTCAGAGTTTTTTACTCGAGTTTATTTTTCTGGGGTAATGAGGATATTAAAGTTTGTGGAGTTTCGGGGAAAATGGAGGAGAATGGAGGAATGGGAAAAGAGGAAGAGGATGAGGTGGAGATGAAATGTGGAAAGTGGATGGGATGAGACTTTGGGTCACGAATTATTTCAAGCTCTGGGGTCTATTTCAAATGTATACCGTGCATGCTCCCTACTGCGTTCGTAATCTCGTATTTCGTGCGAATTAAGAAGATTTTTTAAATTCGGTTTTTCCATTAGTGCAATGAAAACGACTGCCAGGTGGATTCGCAATTTTTTGCAAAAGTCTCTGGAAGCAAGAAGAATAAAGGAATACAGAATCCTTCATTAGAGAAATTTTTTTTTTATGTTTTTCGTTCAATTTGCTGCAAAATACTTACCTCTCTATTTAAATTCATGTTTTCCATTCGGGCATTTTTGGAAAATTGAGTAATCAAGTGGCTAAAGTAATACCAAAAAATTAGAAATTTTGTCAGATTATAGGTCTTAATAAGGACTAACTTTGTGCAAAATTTCAGCCCGATCGATCTAATAGTTTTTGAGAAAAAGCTATTCGTTATCAAATCGTTTTCCGCAAATATCTTCAAAACTAGTGAAACGATTCCGATTTTTTTGTTTTCAAAATATTCGTTACGATGGATTCTATCTAAATCAACCAAAACATATGTACCCATTCATACAAAGTTTTCGAGATACTCCCGTTTTTGAATTTTTTCATAAAAAACTTTGTAATCACTCTAGCGTGTACAAAATTCGAGATATCGAATTGAAATCCGGAAAGAATCTTCCTCTCATCGATGCCATCCATGCATTGATGGCTAAAAAAATAAGACATCACTTAGTGACATGCTTACTGCCATACGGCACGCTGTCATATGTTCGCTGCATTGACAGAAAAAATTAATTTTATCAAGAGAATTTTATTTGAACGAACTATCATCTGATTGTTAATTTTCAAATAAATATGATTTCATTGTGAATACCAGTTATCTCTTCTTGAGATACATTTGATTGGGAGAAATCGAACTTCTCTAGAATTGAAGTTCCCCTTATTTGTCGCAATAATGAGAGTATTGCTTTCTTGCCAAAAGTTTGCTAACTCCAGGAATTCGTTGGTTTACTCAAAAATCAAAATTCTTCTCATGACTAAATACGTTGTTATCTCAATCAACATGATCATACGTTGTTCCAGGAAAATTATAATTGAAGTGAGCATTCCGTACGTCGAATCAGGATGAATATTGTTACGTAGAAAAAGCTTTGAGATTGTAGTAAGATGTCGTTGAGTTGAAAGAAGTTTATATTTCTTGAGTAAAAAAAATCGCATTAGTTTACAATAACAGAATCACAGATTTCGGCAATTAAATACAACCTTGGATATCACAAATTTCGTTCAATGTGATGTACGGAAAGCTTAATTTAAACATCGGCTGCATTCGAGAAAACAACATTCAATTCATTCCTCAATGCAATCATCTCCTAGGTACGAATTTTTGATCAATTCATGAAAGTAGAAAATTTCTCGACTGCATATTATATTAGGTTAAAAAACACAACTTTTCCATTTTTGTGGTGAATACATGAGACTTGACGCCAAGGACTGTTTTATTTGATTCAAGTAAATGTATCTCAAGAAGAAATAATTGATATTCACCGTAAGATTTTATGTTTGAAATAAGTTCAAGTATATAATACTTGTTCCAGGAAAAAAATATCCCAATAAGAATATTTTTTTTATCAGTGTGTCCCCTGCTTGTTTGCAAATGTCGTTTAAAGCAAGAAGAATAAAAGAATTAAAAATCCTTCATTACAGAAACTTTCATGAGCTGCAAAATATCCTTTTGACATTTTCCTCTAAATTTCCTAGCATCAGAGATATTCGCAAAATACTTCAAAAATTTTCTGCATTTATCCTCTGGTCTTTACAATATTAGACTCGAGATCCTTTCTATAATGAACGTTTTTAAGAGAAATCCGTCAAATACTTTTTTGTTGTGAAATTTCATGGACTTCACAAAAGATTTTTCAATACTTTTCCTAACTAAACTAGACAATATAGTTTACAAAATAGTTCACAAAATAAAACAGGGTTTATTGACATTTTTCTATAAATTTTCTCGCTTCAGAGATATTTTTGAAATACATTGAAAATTTTCTCCATTCACCTTTGTGTTTTTACAATCTTCCCCTAAGAATTATTTCCGTGATGAATTTTTTGAGAACAAAAAGCTGTCAAAGGTTTGTTGGTGGTGCATGCCACGGTCTGCGCAAAAGATTCTTTGACATTTTCTCCTAAACCAGTTATTTTTCGGAATATTCATTAAATAAGTCTCTGCGATTTCCTCTACGAACCGATGCACCGCATTGCGAGAACTAAACATCAACAAAAATTAGAAAATGACTTTGCAAACATTTCAATCACGTTCTGGCATCATCACCACCCCGTTTAGAGAATGATCTAATCCAGTTAATGTTAAATATCCGATAAACATGACAATTGACGTCAAACTTATCAAGCCTAACTCGACGGAACTAATAACTCTCTTCACATATGAATTCACAAATTTTGCAACGTTGTCAACCGCGACATGAAATGAAAATTGGCGCGCAATAAAGGACCCTCCCCTTCCAAAACTGTCTTTCACATTGGAGGAAGGCAGAAATCAACGTCCAACAATATAAATTTCAACCTATCAAACGTCAGTTATATTTTTAACCGAGTTTACATCAACCCCAAATGTTAATGTTTTCTGCATTTTAAAATCCATCAAACGTCACAAATGAAACGTGGAGAGACCCTCTAAAAATACTATTTCCACAGGAACATGATAGAATGCAACGTCTAGAGGTGATAATGAAGACCCTAAACTTTTTTTTCGATTTTTTGCTGCAACGATTTGTAGCATGCAGTTCACTACGGAGCGAGGGACGGAAAATAAATAGAAAGACTTTTTGGCTGCTGGATTATGCGCCCACGTGGGATGATAATAAATTTAACGCCACTGTGGCAATGTCAAGTTTGCAAGTTGAGGATTATTCACTCATAAATTCACTGATAACATACCAAAACAAGGGGAGGACAGTATTAAATTTCACCCAAGGTAGTGAAGTCATAACTCCAGTTCAAAGATTGCGGAATTTTTTGTTTGAATGAACGATTGTAAAAATGAACATCAAAAAGGAAGATTACCAGTAAAAACGTTTCAGAATTTCATCTGGATTGATAGGAATAACTCGGAGTATGGACAATAACAATTCAGTAGCGAAGTGGTAAACGGCTCAAGTCGATTTTGACTATTGGCCAGTTTTTAGTGAATATCTCGGAACCTGAGGGAGACAGCTAAATTTTTATCGAGACCTTTTTTGTAGCACTCAATTTGCTCTAGAAAAAAGGTTATTACGAAAATTCCATTATCTCCTTTAAATTCGGAGATATTCTTCAACAACTCAACTAAGAGATAAGTCGACTTAAACCGCTTTACCACTTCCCTACTGAACTTTCATGTCTCTTAATTGGGAACAGCATGGCTATGGGTATTGAGACCAGTGATGGAGTGTTGTCTTCTATCAATTTTTATTATCTTTTGGTATGGATATATTGCCTTAACGATATCCAAGTGCTTCGTTCAAGTTAGCAACTTTTTTTCACGCAATATTTCAGTTGTATCGGAAATCTTGCCATTCCCCGCACTGTTAGAAATTTTTTGAAATTTAAGTAACAGATGCATGTGAATTTTCAACATTCGGAACTTGAATTCAATTTCAGACTAAATTGCTCATGGAATTCCTGATTCGTCTTGGAAATTCAAGGAAATTAAGTTTTTCACGATGAATGATCATTGAATTTTCACACCTATCACGAAAATTAAACATTACATTTAATTGAATTTTCACGATTTTCAGTCATTTTCATTGTCATATGAACCTGAGAAATCAAATTTCATTGAATATTCAAGACAATTGACTGATTTATCAATAACAAGATAAAAGGAAATTCCACGTAAATTATTCGTTGTTAAAAATTTCAAGATTTTTTACTTGAAATATCAAAAGCAATTTTCTAATAGTGCACTTTTTCGGATTTTTCATTACTGAATACATGTTTTTCGGGAATTTCTTCAATGAATATTGTGAACAATATTCTATTCAATTTCAAACGCGACTCCTGTTAGTCTAACATCTAACGATTATAGGGCAACGCTGCACATGAACAACCTAGTAATTTCGGTGCGAGTAGTCACTTGAGCGGATGGTTCCCAGACATCAGGGACACGCGGATTCAAACAGTTCAATATGTGACTCCTGCATAGCTAATTTCGTTTTGTTTAATGTAAAAATTTGCGCCATTCGTGATAAAGTTGAAGCTAGCAGAATATTCGTCGGTGGAAAATTCAATTTAAGGGATATTTAAGTGTACGAGAGTCAAATAATCATATGTACAAATGTTTTTTAAGTGTGAAAGAGTTTGTACATTACTTAAAAACATTTGTATACCCCTAAATTAGCCTAAAACAAATCTTCTGCTGTCGAATCTTTCGCTAGTTTCGGCGTCATCCATTCATATAAAATAGACAAAAAAATTAGGTAATCTTCTTATAATATCTTATTTTCTTATAATATCTAAAATAGGTTTTCGATTTTTTTAGAAACATGTTTTGGGCTATTTTACATAAATGGTGCAATTTTTTGTTAAACAAACGGAGCTAGCTATGCAGGAATCAAATTTCCAAAAACTAATTCGTAATTGTTATTATCCAGATTTTTTCAAAAATTAAAACAAAACTATAGCTCAAAAATTAGAACCCCTAGACTATTGTTAACATTTTAAGCGTCTGCGGGGCAAAAAACTCATAGTAGTTTCCCCTTAGAGTCACTAATTTACGAAAATAATTCCACAATGAGCAATTAGGACGTGTCATATTGACCAGGTTTATCATATCCCAACTGAACAATCGTATCCGCTGTGAATAAATAAGGGGATGATGCGTAACATTGGATCACGTGGGTGACGATATGATGTGATTTGATAATAGAGATAGACGAAGGAAGTAATTATTTAAAGGCGATCGATTTGTCTGATGTCCAAGTGTCTTCTGTCATTTCGGTGCGAGTGAATCATTAGTTCATTGTTTTTCCGACTCAATTGACGACTCATTCTTCTATCGTGATTCTATTTGAATTTGTGAATGGATATACCTGGCCCAAGTTCTGGAGTTATTCACCGGAGGAGATGGACATCGGATGGAAATCCCAATAATCACAATGCAAAGATGAAGAGGGCGTCTATTAATATTATACTAACTGATCCTTTCTATCTCCGGGTAATGCAATCAAGTGGTCTTTTCAATCATACATTCATCACTGTTGAAAACTTTTCGCTAAAATTTCCGGTACAATTTTTGTCAAGTGACATTTTTGTCATTTCAAGGAATTTCGGGATTGAAAATTCATAATTTGATGAAAAAATCAATGGAAACTGTCGATTCCAGTCCAATTATTCCATAGAAATTTATCAATATTAATTAAATTCAGGTGAATATACTCTTGAAATTTCAATTAAGAATATCTGAGTAATTTAGCTATTTTTTCTCCAGAAAAATGCTTTTATACTTTGGTAGTGAAACATCACACGTTTCATTTGAACCCCATTTAACTCTCAATTTTCGGACATTTTACAATGATTTTATTATTTAAACTTTGCAGGTCTGAATTTGAAACTCGATATTGAACAGTTGAAAAACATTTGAAAAATCTGAAAAAAAAATTAGAAACTTTACTTTTGGCGGAAGATTGATGAAATAATTTGAAAATTGCTATTTTTGAAAACTACGAGCATTTTCTATAAAAAATTTATAAATAATCCATGTTCCACCATAAAATCCATTCGTTCGGAATCGTAATAATTTATTCATATATATTCATAATTTTACCAAAAAACAATTTCATGCCTAAAATAATAAGGTGTACGAAAGTTTAAACAATTTCATTCATTTCCCTAGAATCAACGAATGTTTAGAAAAATCATAATTCTGTGTAAAATTTAATTTGAATGACACTGAATATTCACGATTTTTTTCAAATTTTTCTCACGCAATTTAATTGACAAATTTGATGATTGAAAATGGTTGAATCGATATTGTGGTCTGTACCATACAGCAAAAGATACTTGGATACGAGCAGATCCACGCCAAATCAGCAGGACAAAGAAATCGATGCTGGGGATTTTCGTCTCAATTTTTGTTCAAAAAGGTGGCAATTAGAGAAAAAATTGAAAAAAAAAGAACAACTGAAAAATATATATAATTGAAGGAGTTATGATTTTTCGAAAATTGCTAGTTTTTGCTCATATCCTTAATTGAAAATTCTGCATGATTGAGTGGTGAATATTTTTTTATTTTTATTTATTTACACTGTCCCACAGGGTGGTACTCCCTATGACAGTGGGGGAAGCCAGTATACAAAATATAATATAAAACAATGTGTGAAGTTTAGACTTACACTAAAGAGTCATCAGATATTCTCTCAGTCTAACCGTTTTTCATTTCTTAAAATCATATATTCAATGAATGAAGAAAAACAAAATATATAACATTATATAACATTTCTAAGCAAATCTGCAGTAAACGAAAAACAATCAGAGGATATCTTCTGGCGCAGACGGTAGAGAGTAAAGATAATTGGTAATCGATTGATCTGGTTTTACTATACGACCATATTTTTTCTCAGAGATAATAACTCTTAACTTGAAAGTATTCAACAAATATAGGAATAACGCCTTAGTATCCGCCTTACAAGGACTAGAAAGAAAAGCTAATAAATCACTAGAACTGATGCCTGAGATCAAAGGCAAAAGGTACCTGAATCTGATCGTTTACCCTGCATATTCTGATTTTAGACGTAAGTTCCTTTTGAGTGGTGAATATTCAGATTTTAATGAAAAATTTAAGTAAGTTGAGAAATCCTCGTCCCATGCGGCTCGAAAATTTGAAATTCCATTAAATGTCCATTGAAATTTGAAATTTTATTATTGTTCCCCCCTAAATCCAATTTAATGTCGTTCTCCTAGAAATTACCACTAAAATGTCTATAAAATTTCAATTTTTTCCATCAAAGGACTCAAAACCAGGAAGATTTAGGGCAGAAGAGATGATTTCGTTATATAACATGGATTTTCCTGCACAAAATTCACAGAATGAGTAGTTTGATTACAAAATAGTTCTCTCTAATTTCCTTTTACAGTCACTCATTTGTGAAATATACTTCTATGACAACCCAAATACCACAGTTGTCTTGAGCTATTTTTCGACATTCCTAATGAATCATCCTGAATTGTTCATTAAAAAATGATGAAAGAGAGTGCCATTCATGTTCTCCATACTCAGGGCAATGGAAACAATCGGAGACAAATAAAGCGAAATACTGAAATTGATCATTGAAATAACCACCACAAACGCTTGTCATGCTATTAATTACAGAGTGTTCCAAAGCCTGCGGACGCAGTAGCACCGCCAGCAGAGCCTGCGCCCCAGGCAAGGAAACAGAGTAAAATAACAATAATACCGGCTCAACCAAATAGTGAACGCAATACAACAATCAAACCCTCCACTAATAAAGCAAAGGCGAGCACAGACAAAGGATCAAGTAAATTGGGGGAAAATGGAAGGGTTGAGTCGACGAGTTCTTCAAAGCCACAATTGGAGAGACAAACACGTATCGACAAATCTCGATCACGTACTGATACCAGAGTGCCAATATCGAAGAGTGAAAGCACTACAGGTAAATCATTAAATCATAATTCTCATCTAGTCTCGACGGCATCACTAGAATAACTAGGGAAAATCGCGGATCCGATCGATTTTGCCCCGTATAATCACGAAAAACTTCATTTTTTTCCTGTTTTTACCTTCAAAATGTCTCTTGCGCCGTAGATTGCATACGATTTTAGTTTTTTAAGAATCAAGTTAAGCATCTGTTTTACTTTATTCATGATCTATAGCGAACGAGGGGCTGGTCACTCCTCAATCGAATGACTCAGTGATTTCCAGAATCAGATAATTTCCTGTGATTTCCTATTGATTTCTGTGATTCCCCGAATGATTTTTGTGATTTCTTAACCAGCATTAGAAATCATGATTTCTTCTGTTTTCTCCTGATTGTCATGATTTCTAGTAGATTTCAATGATTTCTTGTTTTCAAGAAACCACTGGAGAAATCATGATTTCGGGACCAGAGTGGGATATCTGTCGATAATGCCAGTTTTCTACATGAAGTTACAATACGTAAGGATGTCAAAAATTTCACAGCGTCCCATTTCGGGATTGGGTGATTTCGAACGCACCGATATCATAACAAAAATTGTAGAGTTGAAACTGCAATATCAATTTCGATTTTACACTTATCGATGATTTCCGATTATTTCCAGAAATCTTTAGAAATCATTAACGAAAATGGAAATCACTTGATTTCTTCCTTGATTTCCAGTCGCGTGGTCCAGTGATTTCCTAAGTGACCAGCCCCGCAATTGCGAATAAAGTAAAACGGATACTTAACTTTATTCTTTGGAGTGTAACAAACTTTTAAAAAAATGCTAAAATCGTATAAAAACAGGAAAAAATGAAGTTTTTCGTGGTTATACGGGGCAAAATCTATCAGGTTCGCGATTGTCCCCAGTTATTCCCATATTCCATCATGTCAGGGAGAGTGGGGTAAAACGGCCCCTTTGGACTTTGTTTGCGATACTTGTTCTCGGAGGTCAAAAAAATTGTTCAGATTATTAAGACAATTTCTCCTAATTCAGATCACTGAGTTCGTGATTTGTATAAATTTTTATCAATTCAAGAAAAAAAAATCTGTGTTACGTTACTGACTTACGCCGATGATATAGCATTTTTAAATACCCTGTCTAGATAGAACACTTCTTCTCCTCAGGTGTTCCCTCGTGGTCACCATCCCACTTAGTGACTACGCTTACGCTGCTTAGCTTTGCAAAGCTGAGTCTGCCTTTCATGGCAGTTCGCTAGCCTAACACAGAACCGAATCAGTTAATTGCAGAGGGGAAGATCAATTCGAAATACTTCGGCAGATGAGTTTCCGACAATCTCTAAAGCCATTAGTTTTGAAAAAAATATTACAAAACCTCGTGTATTGGCTGTTAAATTTTGTAGGAAAAAATGTCTTCTGACCAATTCCAAGATATTCCAATATACACTGATAGAAAAATATATTTTAATTGAGATGTTTCTTTCTTGGAACAAGTATTATATACTTGAACCAATTTCAAATAAATAAGATCAATAAGATCAATCTTATTGATATTCTGTGAATATCAATTATTTCTTCTTGAGATACATTTATTTGAATCCAAAAAAACAGTCCTTGGCGTCAAGGAACATGGTTTCACCACAAAGATAGAAAAGTTCTATTTTTTTTTTCACCTAATATAATCTCCAGTCCAGAAATTTTCTACTTTCATGAATTGATCGAGCATTCGTACCCAGGAGATGAGTACATTGAGGAATGGCTTGAATGTTGTCTTTTCGAATGCAGCCGATGTGTAATTGAGCTTTCCGTACATCACGTTGAATGAAATTTGTGATAGCCAAGTTTGTGTTGAATTGCCACAATCTGTGATTCTGTTATTGTAAACTAATGCGATTTTTTAGTCGAGAAATACAAACTTCTTTCAACTCAACAACATCTTACTACAATCTCAAAGCTTTTTCCGCGTAAGAATATTCATTCTAATTCGACATAGGAAATGCTCACTTCATTTATAATTTACTTGGAACAACGTATGATCGTGTTGATTGAGATAACAACCTATTTAGTTGTGAGAATAATTTTGATTCTTCAGTAAACCAACAAATTGGCTAAAAAGAAATTAAATACTTTCATTATTACGATAAATAAAAGAAACTGCAATCCTAGAAAAGTTTGATTTCTCCCAATCAAATGCATCTCAAGAAGAGATAACTGGTATTCACTTTGAAATCATGTTTATTTGGAAACTGATAATCAAATGATAGTTGGTTCCAATAAAATTTTCTTGAGAAAATTAATTTTTTCTGTCAGTGTAGTTTATGGCAACGTTTCAAACTTAGTCTTTTTTGGAGAAATGGTACACAGATAATTTTGCAAATATCTCTGGAAATGGATTTGAACGTAAGCCAGCAGGTTATGAGGAACATATTTTTAAAACTTTTCATACAAGAAAAAATGTTCTGTAAAAATTTGTTTTATACTTTTTCGAAATCTATTCCTTTCTGGGATATTGACCAAATTATTCGTATCAAATCTCAGTCATGGAACCCTTAAGGATGTACTACACCCTTTCGGTCAAAATGCAGGTTTTTTTCATTTTCTTGGCAAATTATTGATCGGATTGACGCGAAATAATATACCGTTTTTGCGTTTTATCATTATTGATTGACTCACAAAGTTTCATGGCAGTGCAATCATTTTTCTGCATTTTTTCTAAAGTTTTGTGAATTTCCGAAAAGTTTTAGAAAAAACGCAGGAAAATGATTGCACGATCATGAAATTTCGTGAGTCATTAAGTAATGATAAAGCGCAAAAACGGTATATTTTTTCACATCAATCCGATCAACAATTTACCAGAAAAATTCAAAAAACGTGAATTTTGGCGAAAAGGGTGCAATACATCCTTAAGAAACAAGGCTCAGTTATGGAATCGTATTGTTTTGAATAACTTAGAAGTATTGTTGAGTGGATATTTTTAGCTTCAGGGAAAGTATACAATCCATAGTTTCCATTCAACTTCGTTCATCACAGTAAATATGTAGGGTCACATGGATTGTCGGCAAATGTAACGCTGATTTCATAACCGGTACCGATTCCATAACCGGATCACTGACGTTAATGAATTTGCTACTACTTCGAAGCAAGAAGTCTAGAAAATTTCACTGAAACACCTTTTTTCGTGAGGGAAGTGATGAACTACAAAAAAATTTATCTGGTCTTTTTTTCCCAACACTTTGGTTTCAGAGATATTAACCAAATAATGTATAAAAAATTTTGAGATTCTACTTGTCATTTAAAAAAAATAGCCGCTTCTCCTCCAAAATTAAGTCCAAGGGATTAGAATACAGTTTATTTACTTGAATCAACTTTCCTTCTTGCCCTGTGAATTTACACCTTAAACAACACATCACCGATCACTGAATTCACTAGACCCCTCTACAAATCTCCGATCATTGGCACCATCCACAAATAACCCCCCAGTCTAAATTAGCCCTGCCGTTCTGAATTCAAATTGTCAGCGATCATTTCCCCATCGACCCTAATACAAATTCCACCTTAACATTGTTTACAAATGTACACAGGTGCACCAACACTATCAAAAAGCTCATCGAGAGCAGCAATACCACCGCCGCCACCACCGAGACCACCGCCACCACCACCATCCAGGGAAGTTGTGCCTGAACTGAAGAATCTACCACCGATCAGTGAGAAAGCTCAAAAAACGTTGGAGTTGCTTAAATCGAGGCCACGTAAACGGCCTGATTGGTCGTGCATATTGAAGGAGGTGGAGAGTGGGAAAAAGTTGAAACACGTCAAGTGCAACGATAGAAGTGCACCGATCATCGAAAGAGTTAGCAAAGTCATAGCTGATCCACAAGGTAAATATGTAAACCACTTCAGTTTAAAACGATCAAACTATCTTACTTGACATGAATCAACATGTTGATGATTGAATCTTCTTGGTGATGTGGGATGACTTTGTCAAAAGACTTTTTTTGTGCAGAATTTTCTGGTTTATCAATATTTTTTCCTAAACTTTGTCAAATTAAAGTAGCGTAAACATGAATCTTCTTGGTAATGAGTGATGACTTTGTCAAAAGACTTTTTTTGTGCAGAATTTTCTGGTTTATCAATATTTTTTCCTAAACTTTCTCAAATTAAAGTAACTTAAACATAACGTGAATTTTGAAGATTAAGATCTGAAATCAATTCTCAACGAAAGTTACTATGAATAGAAACATTGTGGTTGAGTTTGTGTTCAATCGGCAGTCTAGTAGGATTGATAATAATTAATCCAAAAATGTAAAAATAACAAAGCGTCTTATGAGAAAATTAATTTTTCGAGGTTGAGGGAGAAGGTTAAAATCTAGAAAATATCTCGAAAAATCAGGAAGAACAAATAAAAATTCTATGCCCAATATGAAAATCATGGTTCATCAAGCTTTTATAATAATTAATTTATGTCACTCCGAAATGGAGTGTTACGTTGAAACACCCTAGTCAAACGAAAAAGAATTTGATGGATCAATTTCCTACACTCTTCAAAGTTAGAGTTCATGGGAAAAATTATCAATGATAAATAATTTTTTAATTTTTTAATTTATTCGTCCTTGAGTCGTTAGACACAACAACTCAACTGAGGTTTATTCACCCTATTTTAACCCTCGATTGGTCGCCATGCGAGGGAAAGGCCGCAGCGCGTCGTTTTTTTCTTCTTGCCGTCTACTCGTTGACCGGAAAAATCCGAAAAAATTTGAATTCGTCATCAATTGAAGTATCTGGAGAAATTTAGTAGCAAAAAAACAATATCAGAATCTTAATTCTTGGTGAAAAAAAAATCATTTCCAACAGTTGAACAATTCATTCCCATGTTAAATGAAATTACCCGTTGCGCGACGATGCCGAGAACTCGCTAAACGCACCCGGGCAGTGCAGAGTGAATTCGGCAACGGTGTAGGATAAATAACACGGTGGCAAATCCCCGCGGAGGTGACCAAGTCGCAAGTTCGCGTCAGGTGATTAAACTAGGGTTAAGGAAGTTGGGATAATTCATCTCAATAATTAATCTATAAGTCAGGTATACTGTTAGAAATTTCTTGAAATTTCACTCACAATGTGATTTGAATTCACGATGTCGTGAATTTGCATTGCATTCAACATGGAATCGTTCATCAAATTTCTCATTTTTCTTAAAAAAAAAATTCAAGAAACTTGGATTTTTGATAGTAAGCCATCATTGATATTTCAATGAAAGCTTGAATTTCCAAACTCTGTGTACAAATTGAACATTAAATGCAATTGAATTTTCAATAGATTGAGAATTCGGAAAAATTGATGCCTAAATTTTCGTAATATTTAATATATTTCAATTTAATATATTTCCACATTTTCTACATTTTTAACATTAAAGAAGGGAATTTATATAGCGTTCCCATCTTTTGTGACGTTATAGGAAATGATTGATGGGATTTGGATGAGGTAGTAGGGAAACCGGGATTATTCTCAATATGAATAACCAGAAAATTTTTTACTGAAAAAAATGGAGAATCCCTTGAATATTCAAACGATCAACTGATTCGTCAATGAAGAAATACACATAAATTTCATGTAACTTTGTTGTTGTTAAAAATGTCAAGAATAATTTTGCTAATAGTGCAGTTAAAGCTCAGTATCACGAGAAATTATTGAGAGCACTCCTTCATAAAAGAAAGGGCGCTTATTGTTCCCTCCTAAGATGGCTCATTCTTTAAATCAACCCTTAATGAATCCACGTTTCATACTCAACGCTTTCCTCGATTCACTTCTAACACTGATCCATTTATTCTCTAGATCAACCTCATTTCGTCTTTGAATCTGAAAAGTCGAACATGCACAATCAACTCCTGCACCAAATTCAAACTGGTATAAAACTAAAAAGCGTAAAAACGAATGATCGTTCAAAGCCAATGCTCGAGGGCCTGAGGAAATTCCGTCGACAGCTAACTATCGAAGAGCAGATACAGAGGAAAGAGGCAGCGCCAGATATTGCTGAGACCGTGCCCGATGAGATGGACGACATTGACGCTGTAAGGGATGATTTGCAGAGTACCAAACAGATGCTTGCGTTGGAATTGAGAAATAAGGAAGCGCTGGAAAGAGATAACAAGAGGCTACAGGTAGATTTAGAAGCTACCTTGCTTTTGTCATTGCAATGTTATCATAATAAACCTTATTCAATTCCCCTGCATTTTCAACATCATAATAATGAATTGATTTCCGTTTAGGCAAGAGTCTTAAACTTGGAAGCTGAACTAGAACGAGCAAAACTCCAACAAAACGTAGTTGAACACAAGAAACAGGACGAGAAAATCCAAGAGTCATTGAAAAAAGAAGCTGAAGCGGCGAGGAAAGATGTTGAGAAACTAGAAAAAGACTTTGCTGTTGTTGCTGAAGAGAGAGACAAAACTAAAATCGAACTGGAGGAGATGAAGAGGATGTACGCAAATTTGGAGAGACGCATGAAGGCTGGTAAGTGTCCAATATATGAATCTGGTGAAATGGTAAAGGACAGAACAGGAAATACGTTTATCTTGAAAACTAGTTGTTGTGCCCGATATTACCCGGGCAATTCTCTTATTTCGACGAGGATACGTCTATGTTTTCATTATGGGGAGGCATTTAGGAAAAAAATCCTTATGGTTCCTTATCGGCAGTGGCACCATCTATCGGAATTCTAGAACATTCTAGAATTTTCTACACAATCACGAATTTTTATAGCAAATTACAGATTTTCTAGAAGAGTTTGGATTTTTCTAGAGAATTCTCCAGTTGTTTAAAGAAATAAATTACAATTTTGAGGGATCCTAGCTCTGGTCGGCAAAATACCGACAGTTGGGTATTATTGCACGAAATAGATGGAATTTGTGGATCCATGTTTAAATTCGCAAGGGTGTTTGTATGGGATGATGTTGTTGTGAATGAAATATGTTGAACGGTTGTCGTCTTATCATGACGAGACGGTGGGAGATCCCGAATTCTTCTAATATACCTATATAAATATATACAATGAAAAACTATGATGTTCAGTGAAGGAAAGGGAAGACCATAGACGTATCCACGTAAAATTACGGCTGTGTCAAAGATATACATATCATTCAAGCATATGCAAGTACTTTGGCTTTTTTTTCTTCGGTAAAATGCTTTTATACTGTTGTAATCGAACATCAGAGCTTTCATTTCAGCGCGATTTGACCCTAAGTTTCCGTGCATTTTACAATGATTTTATTATTTAAACTTTACTGGTCTGAATTTGAATCTCGACATTGAACTATCAGAAAACATTTTAAAAACCTGAAAAAAATTAGGTTTTTTTTTGGAGGAAGATTCATGAAATCATTAAATAATTGCAATTTTTGAATAGTACGGGCATTTTTTATAAATGATTTGCAAACATTCAGTCTTCTACTATAAAAATCGTTTGTTCGGAATCGTAATAAATTTATTCATATTCCGAATTTGACAATTCGAAACAGCTCCGAAAGTTTAGACAATTTCCATTATTTATTTACAAGAAACAAATGTTAAAAAAAATAACTATTCTGTGCAAAATGCTATTTAAATGACGCTGAATATCCATGTTTTTTTTCAAATTTTTGTCACGTAATTTGATTCACAAATTTGATGATTGGAAATGCCTGAAGCTAGAGTGTGGTTTGTACCAAACTGTAAAAGATACTCGGATATCCTTAACTCTGAAACAATTAACTGATTTATAGCCCCCGCTGCTAACACGCACTAACCTAAAGCACTAAAACCGTCAAGCTAATGCTTCTGCTTAATTAATCTGCTTCTCTCCTCCCAGAGTTTTATTGGGACTGGCCAGAGCCCATAATAGAATACCCGGAAGAGAGTCCAGAGGGCACGTGGTACGATGTTTCAGGAATGGCATTGGCAGGATGTCCAAGTGCCAAGGATGTTGCTAAAATAGCGTCACAGAAGAGTATTGATAAGGGAGAGAAGACAGCCAGTGAGTCGGAAGAGGAGGAGGAATCATCGGAAGAGGAGGATGAGGATGAGGATCCCGAGGCACAGGCTGAGAAACGATTGCAGAGGGAAATCAAATTGCTCAATACAAAGATTAGGAACTTCAAGTAAATGCAAAAGCTTATATCAGACAGTAGTCAGTGTCTGAGTCAGTGGTGAATGGGATAAATCAGTTTGTCAATGATATTTCGAACTCAAGAGGAGATGACGAAATTCTCTCATAAAAAAGGCCCTTATGGAAATTCGTCCATCTCATTTGGATTTGAAGATGTGTACACTGTTAGAAATTTTTTTTAATTTCATGGAAAATATGGTAGTAAATGTCATGAGAATGAGATTGAGATCGAGTCGGATTTTTGAGAAAAATGGTTATGACATTTCAAGTTTTAGGTAGAATTCAAGAAAATTCATGAGTTTTCAGTGGGAGTGAGATGGAAATTTCACAACTCCACTGAATTTTCAATGGAGCATAAACATTCAGAAACAAAACGACATGAATTTTCCAGTCTTCTCTAAATTATTTATTTATTTTCAATGGAGTTTGTTACAAGTTCGAAAGAACTTGCAACTGGTCATCGTGCGGAGCCTTCAGCCAAGTATTTACATTTTATGTACCTAATAGTTGATACAAAAAGAAAGAGTCTGTTTGTGTGTTCATTTTGCTGGATGAGGATCGAGAAATTGAAGATAATATTTACAAGATTGAGTGCACGATAAGATGGTACAGTATAAAGCGATGATATGAAGAGTGAGGAGTTACAGAATTTCACCATTTATTATTGGAGGTGAACAAGGCCTTCCCAGGAGTCAGAGCCGAGATTCTCCCTTCGGATGGTTTCGAGACTCTCTTCTCTGAATTTTCCTGATTTTTCTGAATTTTCACGGAATAATTCAACTGAAAAATCAAGTATTTCACTGATTTTCAGATCATTCGAACAGAAAATCAATGGAATATTTGACTTTTCAATGGCAATATTTCCTGAAATTCCAATGGAAATTGAACACGATAAAAATTTCCGAGATTTGGCATAGAAAATGCAGACGAAAATTTTTAACAGTGTAGCAGCAACTGATTTGGAAATTATACTGACTGGTCACGTTCGCTCTCAATAACTGGAATTAATTTTAAAGTAATCATGACTTGGCTCTAGGGACAAAGCTGCAAATGCAAAGAAGGAGAGACACGCGCTGAAGGAACAAATAAAACAGCAGCAGAAATTGTTGAAAGAGGAGAAGAAAAAGTACAAAGGGCTTCAGAAGGAAGTTGACAAAATGGCTAAATTGATGGGAGATACTGACGATGAAGATGCTGAGGATGAAGAGGAGGAGGAAGAGGAAGAGAGTGAGTCTGAAGATGAATCAGAGTCTGAGGAGTCTGAGGAGGAGGAATCCGAGAGTGACGACGAGGATGCTGAGCCAGAGGAGCGCAAGAGTAATTTACAGGTGAATCCATTATATTTTGCTTCTGAATGGGAGCTTTGTAAACGTTTAAATTTAAGTGTTCAATTTTTTATGTTAGGATAACTAAATATGGTCCAAAAAGTCCGAATATGTGATTTTTAGGTGGTGTCTGTATGTATACTGAGAGAAAAACCGCTCAGTTGTCAAACAAGTCTTACTAGTGCCAAAAAATCATTTGTTAACGATTCGTTTTGTGTTCGAAATATTTTTTCAATAACTTTTCAATTTTTTTCCCACATATTTCAAGCCTTCTTTTATTTTTCTAACTTGTCTTTTGGATAATTGGAAATAATTAATATGGATAGAAAAAGTGACAACGTCGTACCGTTCGCGGTACAAGTTAGCAGCACTGATTCACTCAGCTGTTATGATCCTTCCCACAGCGATATGTATCATCACAACTCCATTCGTATTTGCCGCGCTTACCCCTCCACGATTTCTAACCTCGACGTCGCTATTCCAAGTTGCGCACGCTGAATTCCTATTTTTCATGAGTTTTTTAATTATCCCTTCTAAAAAATTCTCCTAGGCCACTTGGATTTATTTTTTCATGTTCCTCTTTGAAAGCTCCATCCAAGTGTGAAATTTCAGTACAATGACGACTTTTTTTCTATATTTATAATAATTTTTTCCCGAATTCCCATAAGCGCCCGTGTTAAAATGCATTTTTTAGAAAAATTCCTGCATTTCACTCATTCTCCTAAGCTATCTAGGATTTTGCATAGGGGTTTTGAAAAAATCAAAGAATGTATAAAAAAAAAAATCAAATTCTTCACTTTTTTTCGATTCCCCCCCCCCTGACGACGCCATAAATACCTTAAATTTTTTCCCTAAAATACTTTCTCTATTATCCTAACTTGATATTCGATCATTTCCAGACAATCGTCAAAAAACACGAGGGAAGAATGTCATCCCTGAAGAAAGGTAATTATCTGCTCAAAGCCCAGGTGGACAGACTGAAAGACGACCTAGTGAAGCAGCGTGAAGCGAGCCTATCCCTCCAAGAGGACCTCGACTCAGTTCTCGCTGAACTGGGCTAAATTTGCATAACATGAATTATAGTTGAAGAAATATTACATAACGAAACTAACATATGCACATAAATAAAAGAAAACAAATCTCGAATTAATGATACTGAGTACTGAAAGCAAACACCTACACAAATTACACAATTAAAGCGAGACAGAATGAGAAATTCATGGAGAAAACATTCAGATCATTGCTTACTTTTGTTGCAGACTAGACGATATGAAAAAGAGAAAAATGAAACAAATATGAAATTAACGCGATTTTTATTTGCTATTATATTATTTAAAGTGTAAGATATTTTTTAATAAAGGAGATAAATATTGGCCATTGGTTTAGAAATAGTGTTGGAGATTTTATTTATGTTATCAATGAAGTGTATAAAAGTATTTCAATTGGGAGAAAATGGTAAATAATATATGGGGTATTCCATGCCAAATGAGTTAACGGCTGACCCTTACCCTTTTGGAAATTGATCTCGATTTTTTTTACGAT